GAAGAAGTCTCTTGGAGGAGAGACGAAACGTTTCATTAAAGAAGAACCGTCCAGAAGACCTATACTATTTTTTTTCCTTTGTTAGTAAAGTTCACAAAATAAGACCAATTTGATATTTCAACATTTTAATACAAACATTTTCTAAATACAGAATATTTTAACATTTACTGACCACAAACAATCTTTATACAGTTTACAGTTTAAGTTAATTTATCTGATTTGTTTGAAAAAACGATGAATAAAAATTGTTTYGTAGTTTACTGAACAGGGTTTTTAATATTTTTCATGTCGGTCAGAACAACGTTTCTGTAGCTGCGCTCCAGGTCCAACATAAAGTCCAGGTAGTTGCAGAACTTGAAGCCCCAGATTGGCTCTTCCTGCAAAAAATAAAAAGAAGAGGAAATTGATTCAGCGTGTTAAAGCTCGATAAATATGACAGCATTCATGTGTTGAAACATTTTTTTGGAGTTCCTCACGATGTTTGAAAAACCTTGGCTGAAACACTTTCTCTGAAAATATGTTTATTTATTGTAAAACCTGGGCTGAAGCAGGGGAATCAGCTGGCAGTTTGATTATTTGTTTATTTGAAAGTTTTGTTTCTTCCTAATGAGAGTTTAAATGTAGATTTCGTGCTAATGAACATCCTGAACAGGTGATTTCAGCTGCTTAACGTCCCGTAGAAGCTTCACAATATGCTGAGCGTCAGTATTAAAGAGCTCATTAGCTACGCTAATTAATGTGTTAATTACTGAAGATTTCTACAACTTTTTTTTTTGCTTGTCATCACTTGATTAATGAGTTGTGTTAACGCTCACTGAGAGTCTGAGGAGGAGAAACTAATGAGAAGATTTCTTAGAGGAAAAAGAATTATTAGTTAAAAACATATTTTGGTTTGTGATTCTTAAAGGTTTGTGTAATTTTAGAGTCTTAAATAAAAGTTCTAATTATAACAACTTCATTATTAGTAATTATTGAAGTGGACACAGCTAATCAAACTATTACCGTCACTAACAGCTTAACTGCTAAAGCTAAATAAAAATAAAATTGACAAAAGCTAAACTGCTAATGTTTATCCTTTTAGCATCCCACAAGTGAATAAGTACAGTGTGCCGCGGCGCRGGCTGCAGCGCTCGGAGTTTGATCTTTGACCACGCCCCCTCTAGCGCTGACTCAGATGTCTCACTCCTGGTTTGGTTTGACTAAACTTCAACACAGATAAACCAAACCTAAATGTGACGAACGTACGGYATGTCAACACAACTCAAAATGCYTCACAGATAAAAGTGTTTGTTTCTGTCAGAGGTGAAATCTGAGGAAATAGTTTTGTTTAGCCAAGAGGCGGAGCTACAGCTGCCGACTAAAAAGGAAAAGACAAAGTAAAGCTTTACGAATTGTCWTTCTGCTGAGTTATTTCTTATATTTGTCACAACAGATCACAGTATTCTTCTTGAAAAATTAAGTAAATATGGTATTAGAGGATCGGCACTACAATGGGTATCCAGTTATTTGAAAGATAGGAAACAGTTCACACAGATAAATGGTGTAAGATCTAAACTTGGTAATATCACATGTGGAGTCCCGCAAGGTTCTGTACTGGGACCTAAGTTATTTATTTTATATGTGAATGACTTAGTAAATGTGTCAGGACTTTTCAAATGTGTTTTATTTCCTGACAATAATACATTTTTTTAGTTTAGGTACAGATATAGAAAAAAGCTTTGAGATGGTACAGAAACACACGTTTAATTTACTGTACCTAAGTCTGGGGTAAAGATTGCAAAACAATTACAAATTCGATTTTTGTTTTACAGAAAAGAGTCATAAGAATTATCACGAGAAAATATTACAACCATCCATCAAATACATTATTTTGCAAACTGAAAATTTTTTAATTCTATGATTTGGTTGATTATAACATTTTACTGTTAATGGTTCACAGAAATGTATTACCTTCCAACATTCAAGTAAACTTTGTTAAGAGAGACAGTTGTTATTATCTTAAGGGAAGCCATATGTTTGTACTTGCTTGAAAGAAAGACGTACTTTAATCCAGGGTAAAGTTTAGTCTGGGGTATAGTTTAATCCAGGGTATGGGATTATGGAATAGTCTGGAAGATGATCTTAAAAATGCTCGATCAATGTATGTATTTAAGAGACACATAAAAGCTAGTTTTTTGAAGATACAGTATATGAAAAGTAAAATATGAAGTTATTTGATTTGCTGTTTGAGTTGATGTTTTTATG